AAGAGTGTTCAGAGCAGACCGTCGCGACCAGAACATTTCATGCTCCTTCTTACTCCTTTGTCTGAGGGCCCTTGAAACACGATCAGGAAACCGTGTGCAGATGGATGAAATGTTCTGATGTAGTGCCAGAAGAAGGCTGCCACTATTTATTTGAGACCCTGACAGCCATCTACTTTCAAATGGCTGGACGTATGCCAGTCATACAATGGGAATGCCATTCTTTTCATGTGACCACAATGTATTTTCATCATGCGACGCAGGAGGAGGTAGCAAGGTCCTCTTGGAATGACGGCAGCTGAAAGCAGGCTACTGCTGACAGAACAACCCATCCAGCTCATTCCCCATAGGTCAGGGCAAACTGTGCTGGTGATGCTGCCTGAGATGCCCTCAAGTGATCTGATACTTTTAATCTGGCTGAGAAGCAGTTTTAAGAGAGCCTTGCCTGGAAAACACATTTTAGTAACTCTTCACTTTTCATTAGTTTGCATTTCGTAGCACCATGACTCTTCCTTATTGCATACTTAAGAAAAAAAAACAACGTAGTTTATTGTACCTTATCCCCTTTCTCTTCAGGTTCATCTTCATTCAGGAATTCTCTTTTAGGATATGGAATCTGACAGCCAGCAAATACACTGAAACACAGTAAAGAGTAAACCACAAAGATGTACATACATTTACTTAATGCTGTATTAAAAACGTGTGACTATAACACAATTTAACTTCTTGCATTTCATGAGTCCTGTTTCCGTAAGTGAGTGGCACTGTGAGCACTCAAGATAGAAGCAGATACCAGCAGCTAGGTGCTGATCATAATGTCAGACTCTTTGCTGTTGGCATGAGGCCATCATTTAGAAATCACAGCATGGTTGAGCACGCCCGAATGCCAGAACAACTGCTTGTTGATCCAGATAGCAAAATGAACAAACACATTGTCAGAGGTTCCACAACACCTAGTTGGAACATGCACGGCTCACTGAATAAAGGGCCTGATAAGAGTGTTAATGTCTTATGAGCCTGCCCTGGCTTACAGTGGGCTTAAATATATTTGCCAATCACAACAGCAGAGTTGCTTTCAGTTAGCTTCTCGGGTCTTGTTTAGAGAAAAAAAGATAGCTTTTAAATTCCTCTGGCTAATGGGATTTGGAACATTCCTTAATGTTTATGGCAGGCACGTTATCGTAATGTTATTCTGTAATTCATGGGGAGCTATAGCTCTACACAGGATAGTATCAGATAAACACGAAATAGAAGATTACTGGTAGATCTTGACCAGTATCGATTTCTTAGATTTCTGTGCCAGCATTTAGAATACAATCAACGTGACATGATTTTTTTTTAAGTGTGTAAACAGTTCCTAATCTAGCTGATATGTAGTGTTTGGTTTACCCAAATGGAAAAAAAAAAAGAAAGAAAAAACCTCCAAGTAGTCTCAACTAGACTCCTTTTGCACTCCAGTGGCTGTTCCCTCCTTTTAGTGTTGCCTGCTAGCTGAGCAAGCAGTGAAAGCAAAAGTGGAAGTCTGCCCGCATCCAGCTCCTACAGATCATAAAGCTACAAACCACCACATTTCTAAAAACTGGGAAGGGAAACTGAAAGAGGAAAGTCTGCCAGCAGGAACTGACTATATCATTTGAATTTCTCATGACAGCAAAATAAATAAAGCTATAAAATCTGTACTCTCAAGCCTTCTGAACAAGGAACACATCGGATTTTAAGCCGCCACGGATCTCTTCACTTTTCTCTCCTCACACTGTCACCCTGTGCAAGAGGGCACGGGAAGGGGCTGTAGGTTAGAGAACTGCCCTAGTCCTGGGGAGAGACACAATGAAACCAAGCAATGGAGAACAGGGCTCTGTGAGGCTGTGCAAGGCAGACCAGAACAGGGTGCAGACTAATTCTCTACATAATAATATTGTCACGCTAGCTTTGGTAGTACGTTTAGACTTACAACACTCATGCGGTGCTGGGTTATTGTCCACGACCACTCAGTTCTGGCACCAGTAGATACAGACACTTCAGTACCACACTAATAGTTTCTCCTAACCATGCCTGAGCTACTACTTCTTGTGGATATAGGTGGACATCAGTGAATTGTTCAGCTGCCATCTCACTTCAGGGATTAGCAGTTAGCAGAAAGAAGACACCCCTGAAGAGCACAGAAGCGGGAATACATACTCTGATGTAGGCAGAGGGTCCTCTTGAAAGTAGGGGTCCTGCAAAGCCTGCTCTGAGGTAATTCTCTTTGTAGGGTCCATAGTAAGAAGCTTCTGAAGCTGCAAAGCATAACAGTAAAAATAGCAAAAAGCTTATCAAACTATCGTTTTTCAAACTATGACTTATATGTCTTGGATTGCGGACTGTTAAATTATTAGTGGCTTGTCCAGACAAGCCTAAGTTAGCTTTGCTTGTTCAGTAAAGTTCCCAAGAACTAGAATGCACATCCATCAAAGTACTACAGCTGTGAAACACTTATCACACAAGAAATAGTTCAGTGTATCAGGCAATATTAATTGCTAAGGCTGCACCACCATGCTAAAGTGACACTAAATTCAGCTATTACCAGTTCATAAAGTATCATAAACCAAAGAAATGTTTCTTTATCACCATTTCTAAATAATGATGTTTTCTGTTTTGGCACATGTATAGTTTTTATACTGTTCTGTACTGCTGACACAACAGGAAAAAAAGAGTCAGAGGAGACTGAACATGACCAGGACTCTCCGTATCACTTTAGGGACAGAAACCATAAATCTTCATCTCTCGCATTGGCGACTCTGTCACTCATGCAGCTCCCAATCCCATTCTAATTCGTACTGAAATGAGAAAGAGGAGGAGCAGATCCTTCCTAGTAACCTTTCTTACTTGCTAGGAGGAAAGCAATAATAAATTTATTAGCTAGAATGCTGTTGACTACAGCAGGCTATAAAAGAGGATTACAATATATTAGTAGTATAAAACAGGAATTACAGGCATAACATATCATTTATAGTTAGAGTTTATCAGAATGTGATAAACAAATCAGTAGGAAATCTGGGTGCTCAAATGACATCATACAGTATCCTGCTCTCACAAGATACTCTTACTTCAAGTCAACAGTGAAAATAAAATTCTTTGTGCAAAGGGCATCTTAGCTCAGAGTCAATTTTCCAGGCCTCCAACAAAAATTGCCTGGATATTCAGCAAAAGAATGTGATTTTGGCATATGTGTTTGGGGCTTTTTGTTCCAATAGATCAAAAATCTGATATACACTTCTATATTCTATGTATGTGGCACAGTGAACAGCCGAAGTAAAAACATTCATCAAGAAAGATGATTCCTTCTATCTCCTTTCTCAATAGTTATAGTTAACCCAACTTTGTAGATGAGGTCTTATAAAATTTTCTGTACTTTTGCCACTTCCTTCCCATCCCTCCTTCTTCCCATACTTTATGGGCCACGGACCCCAACAGGCTGACAGCACAACAAAGAGCCATTTGGGTTGTCTCTCCACCAATCCGTTCACTTGAAACCAGCTCCTGAGTTGATTCCTGCTGCTTGTCCAGAAATACACCTCACGATTGTTCTGCACTGCACACACCTGGAGACTTTGCATGGCACACTTACTGTGGTTTGTGTTGTCAGATAACCCTTAATGCTGTTTCCCACGTACCTTAACAAACCCAACCTCTAACATGCTGTTGGCTCTCTACACAGTGACCTCACACGATACAACGAATACAATTTTGGCATTCAGCATCTTTATTTCCAATCACCACCTCTCCCTATGTGTAAAATTTTTGTTAGTTTTAGTGGCTTGTGACACCATCACAGATGGTGCACATTTCTTCTCCCCAGTTCCTCCACAGTGACCACGGCGGCAAACACTGATGTTCTGTATGAGGTGACTCCCAGTCTTCGGCAACAGATGTGGTCATTGACAGAAACATACAGGACATCAGTCTCTGCCCCCTGGACTCCCTCCTCAGGACTGGCTGCTGCAGTACTACTCAAGAGAAAGCTCCTCCAGTTTTCTACCATATAGCACCCTCATCACAAGCTGCCTCCAAACATGATCTGTATTCTTTGTCATTCAAAGATAAGGCTATTGTACCACAGCAGAAGATCTAAAGATATCTTGGACCTTTTAATGTTCTCCTTATTCCCTTAGTAATCCCCCTCCATCCCCGAGGATATAATCAGTTCGTCCATTCTAGGTGACACCACACATAACATCACTCAAAGTGAGATATCCTGCCTGTCAGTTATGCTACTGTGAACCAACCTTCTTTTTGGTTTTCTGTAGCTTCTGTTGCTCCTAGGACAGTGAACAAAAAAATGCCTGGCCACAATTTGTTTTCAGGGTAGCAGCTGCTAACACAGTATAGAAAGCCTGCGAGACTGGACTTCAACAGGGTCATACTTCTCAGCAGCTCTCAAGATTCCTTGCTGTCAGGCTTTACTGGCCTGACACGACAGCTATAAATACTATGCTTGTAACTCTTCCAGGACAACAAGAGCAGATGCCTATTCCTGGATGAAAAACATTCCACCCTTCATGTAGATATTAACATTCAACGTCAGTCATCAGAGCGGCACAATATCCTCCTCTGTCAAGAGTTACTTGCTATCCTGCACTGGTCTACCTGATGCTGTATTTTCTCCATGCGCCACACTATGTATTCCTTAGGACAAAGTCTTGACCAATGAAGGTTACAAAGTAGACGTCTTCAGAGGTGACCTTGAAAGACGCAGGTTACCTCAAAAAAAACCCCCAACATAACTACTTTGGATATGAACAAGGAGTTTTAGGGAGTCAGAATACATGTACCTCCAAGCTCATTAGCAGACAAATATCTAACCTTTTGATTTGGGAGAGTATTGCACACCTTTCCTTCAAGATCTGCTGGTTTTTAGAATCTTTCACAAGATAAGGCAGGTACTGAGCCTCTTTGCTGTAGCATGACTGTGGCAATTTAGTTATACGGACCCCCTCAGTGCAGCACAGTATCAAGGAGGTTGCCCATGTTCCTGGGCATTCTTACGCAGAGCTCTGGGAGACTGACCTGTTTGAGACCAGGCTCCACCTCTGTGGTTGATCACTAAACCACCCTTATTCATCCCTGATTACGAACAGTGAGAAAAAAATGACTAGAAGAAACTACCCTGCTAAGCGAACTATCTTCCTCACGATGTTCAGAAATAGCCCTTAGACTTTTGGAAATCTCAGTTCTCATTCTCACACTTATGTAGAGGAACACATAGGTAGACACGTATCTACTTGTTCAGTCACTCTGTAGGAAAACTGGGAAATTCAGGGGCTAACTAACAATGTCTCTTACAATTGTCGTCTTTTCAGTCAGGCTCTTCCTCCAGATCATTCCAATGTATGCCCAGTAAGTTGAGTTTAAGAAATTGTATTTATTTTTAATTTAAGTCTCACACTTCTTACGTGAATGCTTCCCTTCCACTCACTTAGGACCAACCTATTCTGTTTCCACAGCTATGTGTGTCACCATCCAGCAGCCACTAACAAGTCAAAGAGCAAATCTTTGCCAGGATCTAGATGCTATGCTGAATCTGTAACTAGTGATGAAAAAAGACCACTAGAACTCAAGCTGCACTAATCAGGATCTAGATGCTATGCTGAATCTGTAATTAGTGATGAAAACAGACCACTAGAACTCAAGCTGCACTAACAGCCTCATTACAGAGGCTCCCTGCTCACAGCACTAGCAAAGTCACTTTGAACTTCATTCCTAAATTTAGACAGCACTAAGCTATCACAGAGGCATCCAGAAATGATGCTGTATTAGGCAGAGCAACCCTGTAGTCACCTACAAAGAACGACTCAACTAGGTAACGAACAAACAGATGTTTAGGGATATCGTTTGGAATCACCCACAGAACAGAGGTGGACTATTCTCAGAGGGAAGAAAAAAAAAAAAGAAAATTACTACAGGGAAAAAAAAAAAATCAAATTTCTCCTTTCCTCTTCCCTTTCTTAACAAAACTCTTTAGCTCTTGGGAGCTCTTCAGCTCTCTGAAACAAAACAGAATCAAGGGATATATAATACACACTATCCTTTTCATTATCATTATCCAAAGGGTAAGGCTGAGTATATGAGTGCCTTGCAGACCTTAATTAGATAAGACCTTCAGATCTTCAGTACCAGCAGTTTAAGCACACCCTCAGCATGAACGTATATGAAGAAAACACATCTCAAAAATGGCCAGTTAGTGATAAATAGCTTTCTTTAACGTCAGTGTTTGTTAGCAATGAGATAGAAGAACAGACACAGATACCACCATTAGAAATGTATTTCACTCCTGTCATCACAGTGACCTTCAAGTTGTACCTACCAAAAGAAAAACTTTGCTGTCAGGCTTGACTTTGTGTTTCTCCATGTATTTTATGAGGCTACTATTGGCATATCTGAAAAATACAAAGACATTTCTGAAATAATACAACATTAAGAATATGGAACTGCACCAAGTGATCACAAAACCATTTACACCCCTTAATAAGTAAACTATAAAAAGAATTGCTATCAGAAAACATGTCAGATATTTATCTACCAGTTGACACTCTAAGTGTGCTTTTCACTAACAGTAATAGTATCAACTGTGTACAGATTATTTCCATGGAACATGCAACTTATATATAGTATATTGATAAGCTGTTGAGATGGACATACAGAGAAACTCAGCTTGAGCTTTATAGTCTAGTTCACTAAAGCAACTCTGCCACAGAAAGTGTACAGCAGTTCATAACAGTGCAACATTTAAGCTATTGTTTCCAGATGCTAGTTGGCAGAGCAATTAGTTTATCATTCTGTCTCCCTGACTCCAACCTGCAGCAAACCACACAGTCCGTATAGTTCGCAAAGCTCAAAAATGCCCCAAATATGTATGACCTGTGCCTTGCCTTTAAACTACAAATCCAGAGGTTATTTTCAAAAGAAAGAAGCTTCATGCACAGATAAGCTTCATTAATGAATCCACGGCAGAGCTGGAAACAGAATCCAAAACTCCTGAATCCATGTTCTCTGCCTTACAACAGTTTGTGTTACTCCTTACACGCTCTGATCTATCACTTGACTAATTTGATGAAACCATCAGGAAACTCTAAAAGTGGAAAATTCTCAGCTCCCAGATAGGCTTTGCATCACAACCTACTGAACACATTACCTTCCATAGAAATTTCTGTCCACTGCTTTACTGTCTCCACATATCTGCTGGTAAAAAGGACCAGGGAAGTGCTTCCCTATTCTTTCTCACACAAAATTCATGAAGTTATCTTGAACAGCTAATACAAATGGTTTAAGCAACCTCATTTGTCTGTGCCTGCCATAGATCAGACAGCACTTACGACAACCTCTTCTAAAGAAATGAGGAGGCCACTCAGTTGATGCTTTTAACAAGCAGCTGAGGGAGAAAACACCATTCAAGCAAAACAGCTAATTCAAAACAGGACAGCTGTCACCGTGCTAGAACCCGAATGCTCCAAAATCCCCTCCCCAAAAAGTCAGAGGATAGGAGCCAATTTCTGCCTCTCTGCTACATTCACTGAACTGTTGTTGTGTTATCATTACTTACGTTGTTCTCCTAAAATCTTTCTGAAGAGTTGGATATTCTGGCATCTTCCTTATGTCTTCCCAATCTTTATCTTTGGTGGTGGGGGGGAAAGGAGAAGCATTTACAATTCTGAAAGTGTAGGTTAAGTAACACACAAGAAGAAACAACTACAGCAGTTGCTTGACTTTCTGTTTGTTGGCCAGTGCTATTGTTCCATAATTGTCAGCGTTTACAAATCCATCAAACTGACAGCTGCTTCGTACCTATGCAAACAACTAGTCATTTCCTTCAGAAAACCATCAACTCGGTAGCATTACATCTGACACTTTAATGAAAATAAATTACCTGCAGGGAATCCCATTACACTGAAAATGCGATCTAGCTGATCGTGATGAAAAGGATTACTTGTTTTGATGTCCTCCTGACGACAGTGAAATATGGGTTCCGAAGTCAATAGTTCAGCAAATATGCAGCCAATTGCCCAAATATCTAAGGAAGAAGGAGGATAATTCATGCAAGTTTACGATACTTCATCACTGTGTTTTTTGTTTCTGCAAAGTTTCTCAACAACCTGTATAACCACAGTAAGATAAAATGCCTCACAGTATGATTGCTTACAGTGCTTTAAAAATAATGCATTAATATAATACATAAAAAAGGGTAAGATCTGGACATACAGGTTTTTTTCAATCAAAATTAGAGTCTCCAAATTCTGTTTCAAGTTGTACACTGGCACTCCAGCACTTAACGTATTCACAGTTATGGCAGAAACCTAAACAATATTTGCAGATGACATAGCTTAAAGGGCATTCAACTGACCATCAAAACCAGAACATTAATCTCCCCCTAACGATACACTGAAATAAAAGTTCTGTCACATATTTCAGAACAATTCCAAACAGAATAACCAAATAAATACTAAGAAGGAAATAAATACTAAGAAGGAAAAGACTAATGACTCGTATGTTTAGACAAACAGTGCAAGCTAGTTAAAATGGAGAAGCAAGATGCTAATTTTAATCAAAAGTAGAAGAGTGATTACCAAACTGTAAAAAAAAATAAAAATCTTACTTGACAACTGACTCTCACTGGCACAACACTGGAACCGTCTGATCTACATCTCATGTACATACAGAAAACAGCAGCATGATATACTGATGTCTTAATGAAATATCAACCTCTATTTCATAAATTTCTCATTAACACACTTCTCAAAATTAAATCTATTGTGGACAAGAACATTAGTTTCATTTACAGGAGAAGAAATTTCTAGATTACTTGTATTCATTCTAGTCACTACTATCACTGCCAACCTTAAGCGTTCTGTATGACCCGAATGCTTTATTATCCATCTTAAACTGAAAGCGTGAATTAGTCAGGGAGAAGGTGGTTACTAGCAGAAAAGAAATGGATTTGCTACATTGACAAATACGTGTTTGGGGTATAAATCTGGAAAAAGATGTTGAGATCAGATGAATAACGAACTTAGATTCCTGAATACAAGGGTGTGGACACTTGCTCGGTAGCTGAGGTTAAAACAAATGACCCTGGAAAAACTTTTCGATTTTATCAAATTTAGTAACATAAACATACAAAGCAACCAACCCTTATTTTAAAGGTCTAAGAGACAAAAAAAAAAAAAATTACCTAACTGGAGTTTAGTTTATTAGATTCAGACTGAACAGAACATCAAGAGAAGTCTCTTGTTTGTCACCTGCGTACAACTAACCCGAGACTCAAAATCCCACCTGCTGTCAAATGGCGGTGTTCAGCCCATGCTGCCCATGAGACACGTGGTCTCCTGGAGAAAGGAAGAAAAATTGCTCACTATGTAGCCAAGGAAAAAGGAGCCGTCACACTCTCTTTTCCAAAACAGGTCAGTTCCATTTCCATCATGTTACAAATTGTGGAGCTTGGGGTGTCTCAATTTATAAGCATTTCTCCCTACTTCCCTTATGAGAAAGTCTGATAGCATTTTATTCAGACTTTACAGTTCTGACAGGGTATAACTTGCTCTGCGCATTACATCACCTTCTCAGGGTTTTACCTTCCTTTGATTTTCTTATTAGCCTTATCTGCATGAAAATAAGATCTTTAGCTCCTGAGATTTTATCTGCTCAAGCACCTAATGCAGCATATTAATCACAATTCCTGCCTGGGTAGTAGGCATAAATTATCTACTTCAGAATGGAAATTACTCACTATTTGAAGAATACCATCTTCATTTACCAGTATCTATTCACTCATTTTCACACTAGACAGCGAGTCCTTTTGGAGATGGTTTATCTAGAGGCCAAAGGAGTTGCAGCCTTCTTGGTTTTCATGGCTTTCTGCAGTGCTCACTGTCCTTCACATACTGAGGGAGAGGCCGGGCCACTGCTTTTTCTTCTATTCATTACTGCTCTATCCAGACTGACCTCTTCGTTTTAAAGAAAAACAATCTAGTATTCTTGTTGACAGCAAAGCTGAACTGGGAAATCTCCCTGATGTGACACAGCAAAATTCAAAAGCCTGTTCCTCTTCCATCAGCTGGACAGTGTGAGAGCAGAGGCACTGCGGCAATGCATTCCCCTTTCCCGACTCTGTGATTAACGCAGAGAGCACATTATCAACCCTTTGCGAACTCAGAAAGACAGACATTGTACCAACTGGAAGTTACATCTGAGTTACAGTTAAATTTAAACACTGGTAACTCCCAAGCTGGTGTTTCATTTTGTACGAGATGGCATTACTGGACAAGTCAAGCATAAGAACACTTTAGCTCTGATCAGTCATATTATTTTTCAGTAGTTCATAGTGCTGGGGTTCAGCCCTTTAGGTCTCTTGCCAGATTCTCGTCAGCTACAAAGAACTAATATAAAGTAACCCGAAATACTTGGTGCAGAAAACTTGAAGCTTTAATTTCCGTAAGCGAAGATTAAACAGCTGGAAAAGGCCTTATAGCCATGCAGCTCCAGCGGGTCACGGTCTTCCCTTCGTGAATCTAACTTCTGTGTAACCTGATCTTGAACACATCCTTGGCACATGTTGAAACCATTCTCACAGTTAATGATTTTCTGCCAAGTTTGGCTAGTCCCTTTTTTTTTTAAAATACATTCATAATTTACAGCAATTATTTACCACATGGGGCGTTTCATCAGGCAGTCCTAATAGGTATTTAGCTCCTACATTGTTCGTATTAGCCAGTCAAACACAAACTTCAGCTCTAACTATGGAAGAATATGTCAATAATTAGCTATTTCCCTATTCAGTGCCATTTCATATGTTTTCAGTTTGTGGTCCCTAAAAAAGATTAATGATTATTACATCTATTCCAAATCTATTCCAAATAAGAAGTACTATCCCTCAGAAGCAGGCATTGACGGGGCACAGCTTAAAACACATAAGCAGCATTTTTCAACCACAGTGCATTATTAATCTAGTACACATCTGTCTCTAGCATAAGAGGGCCTTCCCTATAATGCTGTATAACAATTTCATTATAAATAAAATTTGTTTAAAATCAACTGCCAAAAGTGAGAGGAAAACTACAGACAGTATGAATTTTAACTTGTTATGTATCAGAACCCTGAAAACAGGGCCATACAGGTCCTACAAGCTTGCACTGGATACTAAATGTTTTCCCATCTGATGTCTCAGGAGGATCCTAACAAATACACCAGAGTAATACAACTGTTCCTATAAGGATGGTTCTGTTTCTTACACTTTCCTCTACTATCATTAGGTTTCAGGAACGATGTGTGGTAAAAGGATTTTACCGTTTGTTTTTTTGTTGGGTTATTTTTTACTTTTTATTTTGCCCTCCAAGAATTCCAGACTCCCCACTTTCCCCAGGTTTACAGTGAACCTGAATGCAAGCCAGTTTTGCTCCCTGGCTCTGGAAAGAGGGGTGGGAGCAAAGGCCTTCGTAGTGTACCCCTTTCCCTAGACTCCTCACCAAACAGTTTGCTCAGGTCCCATTCGAACCTACTCACCAGTGAAACAGCCTTCTACTGTAACAGTATTTCTGAAGTACTACATAATAATTTTATAAAAGGAAAAAACAGCCTTTTAAAGATGGTCACTTGTGGCTGGTGAACAGACTTTCCATATATATGCCTGGGTGCACGGAATATTAGAATATTTGTACAACTGTCCATGTCCCAGTTTTAAAACCTGTGACTAATAGCTTTATATGTCAGCTACTAAAGCTGACAAAATCCTGTGTGTCCTCCTCTACTTCAGTGCTGTAGGCAAGGAGCAAGTACAAAAGGGTGCTGGCATAGCTGTTTTAATGATAGGGCTGATCAAGCAGACAAATGCTCATGTATTCTTTCTACGGCACAATAATCTCATTTATGTATTTGTTCCAATATTTTGGAAACATTCTTTAAGAATATTATGACAATTTAAGACAATTTATTGAGCAATAGCCTTGATTGTCAAAATGAAACATCTTTTCCCATGCATATTAACTACAATGCTTTGTTGAAGACAGGACAGAGTCCAAGATGAAATACTTTATGCTTCTTAACTATATCCAAGGAAAGAAATAGATAAACAAGCTCTTGGTTTCATATAATTCTTTAACAAAATTCTGTTAAAGTAAGTTAAGAATGGGAAAGTATCTATTTAGCTGCAAACGATCTGTGCAATTCATCATTAGTGAGTTTGGTCCAGCAGCTTCAACCAATCTGCTTTTTTTGTTGTTTTGGTTTGAATAGAAAGCCTAGACTCTAGGACCCATCTGAATGCTGAAGCCAACAGTGGATGGACACCAGAATACAGCTTCTCTACGTCCACCAAGGGCTAATGCAACAACCAGGGTGACCGAAAAGTTAGTAGCATGGTCTTAACCCAAACAAGGCAATCCAGGTCACCTATCAAGAACTCCAATGTTTATATAAGATTCAACAGATCTTTCAAATCATAGAATCATTTAGGTTGGAAAAGACCTTTAAGATCATTGAGTCCAACCATAAGCCCAACTCTGCCAAGCCCACCACTAAACCACGTCCCTAAGTGCCACATCCACACGTCCTTTAAACACCTCCAGGGACAGCGACTCCACCACTTCCCTGGGCAGCCTATTCCAATCCTTGGTAACCCTGTCAGTGAAGGAATTTCTCCTAACACCCAACGTAAACCTCCCCTGGCACAAATCAAGGCAAGGACAACAAATACACCAACATACTTGAAAGCCGAAAGGTGGCTGCGCATGCAAACATATCTAATTTTTTCAAATGCATATCAACTGGTGTCAAGAAAAGGCATAACCTCTTTGTAAGAAAATCTTGCCTCTCTTACACTGAACACAAAACCAGATTCTAAATTTACCTGGAATCTTTACACACAGTGACCTAGGAGCATAGAGATACTACAGAAAAAGTATATTAATTTTTACACTGGATTTAAATACCTAGAAATTAGATTTCAAATAATACACCTTTAAACGGGAATTTCATTTTCTTTGATCTGTTAAGGGGACTAGAACAGACCTGTTGCTATCA